AGGTAAGAGAGAAACATAACTGAGATGAGGAATGAAATCAAAGTACAGGTTACTCTTCTGATAACAAAACTAAAATATGTTAGTTCCTTGAAGAGTCATGCAAGAAATGAACTGCAGAGATGGCTTCTGTAAAGAAAGGCACAAGGTACAAACAAAGGTAAGTATCTGTTTCCCTTCTTGGTTTGTACCTGGTATTTCATCCAAAACATACAGACTTGTGACTCCTACTTATAACTGCTGGATTGTTGCCAGATATAGAGCTATCTGGGGTAACTGCATCTTCAAGTTAAAAAAAAAAAAATAAATAAATGTTGTTTTAAGTGGTTCAAGAACTTTACTCAGAATCTCTGAAGCAGGTAGATCTGTCTTAAGAATACCTTGAAATAGTATTGTCACACATGTGACAGCAGGAAATGCAGAATACTGTATATAGTAATATAGGAAAAGTGTATATAGGAAAGTATAGTCTTGAGAGAAAGGAAGGATGCAAACAATGATGACCAGAAGTGTGTATCACAAAACCCTCTGGAGTTAAAAACAAACAAACACACACAACTCATAACCTTTACAAATTTTGTATCCCCTATATTATAAATCTTACCTGAACATCTGAGGACGTTAGGAAACTGTCTGAGAATGGTTTTTGTGTATATATATTTGTTGCATATTCTATTTCAACATTTGATAATGCAATATGAAAAAAAATCTGAGACTAAAAATACGTATCTTTAAGGAACAGCAGAAAATCTCCAACTAATAAATAATAAATAAAAATGCAACATCCAAGTCAATTTCAAAGATCTATAAAGTCCTGACTCCTGGGCCTTGATCACTGAGAAAGGAACATCACAGCTCCCTCCATTCAGTTCTCTCCTCAAAAGACAATAAGAACACTAAGCTGATGGACTTCTTCCCAAAATAAAGCAGAAGGGAGAATATGGTACACCAAAGAATGTAAGAAGTGTTCCCGCCTTGTCTTTGTTTAAAGCATACCAGTAAGTCCAAAATTACAGTCTCCTCTACATAGATGGAACATCTATTCCATCAGTCAATACATCGTTCGTTTGGTTATTAAATTTAATTCAATAAAATAGCTTTTATTTCACCTTCAGAAGTGAATTATTAATGAAATAAAAAGCAAACAAGCAGCTGCAAAAAAAAGATGCCTTCTTTTGACATAGCCAAGAGCACAAATGAAAATGAAACTGATTACCACAGCTTTGCAGAACTTAGTATGTAGCAAGCAAAATTTTTTTCAAGAGGTATGTGAAAAAAATGGATTTGGCATCACCAAAAGTTTAATTTTTAAGATTAAATGGAACTTTGCAGTTAATAAACCATGACATATATACGAACAACGTATTACATGGCATAGTGAGTTAGTCTTTCTTTTGGAAGCTTTTCTGCATAAACATTAAGTTTCTCATTAAATTGCTTTTATTTTAGTAGTGATAAGAAATTAAGTTTTTTATTTTTGTGAATAGGCACTATATAAAAGTAAATGAGCATAAGAAATACACATAATTCTGATATTCTTGAATTCTGTTCATGTTCTCTATTAGGAGACAAGGAGGGAAATAAGAAATACTGCAAATACACTTTTTACAGTCTCATTTAAAAAAAGATAGGCAATCACTGAAGTGCATATATTAGCTAAATTCTAACGAGTCGACTAATGAGACTGTCAAATTTTAAGTCTAATGATCTTTGTTTTTCTTTGCATTTGAGTGACTGATTCTTCCAACGTGAGATCAAAGTATTTACCACATGCATGTGTCTCCTTCTCCTCTTTAAAGCTCCATAAGAACAGACCACTCAGTATGAACCTAATTTCCTTCCCAACTTAGGAGACGCTATTTTCTCCTTAATTTCACAAAGTAAAACTTAATGCATGTCTAACTCTAAATGTGCAATTTCTGGCCAACAGGGGTAGGGCAGGGCAGGGCAGGGTTCTCATTTTCACTTTCTTACATTCTTCTCTCCCACATTTAAGATAAATTCACCCCTTCAGACCTGGTTACATTTACATTTTCTCAGCTATGAAGATATTCCTCACTCCAGCCCAAGGATTACAAGGATGCACAGAAACAGACCTTTATCCTTTCTGTCCCTCTCTACACTATTTTAAAAGTTCAACTGAGGAAGAAAATGAAGGATAACCTGACAGAATTAGGAAGAGTCAGTGCACTGATGACTAGCTCTTCATAATACTTTCAGTACGTGGTGAATGTGGACTAGTGTTCCCACTACACTGGAACCCCATTACTCCAGAGAACAGATACAAGCATTTTGTTGATACGTTTTTGTTGATATTGTTTAATAATAGTTTTCTATTGCTTCTGAAAAGTTGGAACAAGCAAAAAGAAAAAAAAGACAGCAATAAACAGCAAAGCAACTACTTAATGTAGCATTTTTTTTTCAAATTAATTCAAATTACCACCTTACGTGATCACTAACTTTTTTTTTTTAAAAACCTCTGCCTGTTTTAGTCATGATTTTACCAAATTACTCAATACCCCACAGAAACAACTTCCACACAACACAATTTCTTAAGTATGCCAGTAATGCTAATCACAGAAAAAAACTTGCCAAATGATCTATATTTGAGATAAAAATACAGACCAAAAACCATAAAACTTTCTTTTCCTTTTTTTTTTAAACATCACATTATTTAGGATCAACTATATTCTGCTTCTTTGAAGGTGACGTTCATCACTGAAAAGCTACTTATCTTGTCTTTATTTTAACTGTTTCCTACCCTTTTATACAAAAAGCAAGAACGAGTTCAGTTGAAAATCTAGTTCACTTAAAAGAATAAAAAAAAAAAAAAGACCAAAATGACTGTTAGCAACAGAACATGCTGGAATCTGAAATAACTATAAAATAACTGCAGGTATTTTTCTGTTTTTATTAAATTTGTACTTGCAGACTTTAGACTAACAAAAGAAAACTAAAGCCATTCTTAAAAAGCAAAAGAATTTAATTAATTTCTCAAGTTAGTCTTCTTGAGGAATAATGGAGTTTTTCACTTACCAATTTAGCCTCAGACTGCACTGGCTGTGGGGAGGAAGGCCCTGGGATTCCTGGGATACTAGGCACCATGGTGACAGGTCTAACAAGCTGACCAGATAAAGTATAAAAATGAAGAAAACCTGAGTATGTTATCATAATACAGAGCATATGACACCACTACCCTCTGAAGCCAAAACAGCTGTTTAAAGTTCTATGCTGCACTTATGCAAACCTGCTAAACTTTCAAATTAATATAGCATCATGCTTACTTACTGGAACTGCAGCAGGGACATGCACATTAGAATTTGTGATAGATGCAGGAATAGCAACAGGCATGGTTTGTCCATTAGGAAGATGTAACAGCAGAGGAAAAGGACCTGGAACTGGACTGAAAAAGGAATGATGTATATAAAAGAAAACTTATCCTGAGAAGAGAAAAAGCTTTTATATTATATATGTATATATCTATTTTAAAACAGTTCTAATGTAATATTTATTTAGCAATTAAAAATATGAACTTAGTGATGTGGAGAACATGGAATTATATTTCACATGTAGTGAAAGTTGTATATTTTGTATGTTGTGAAGCACCACATTACACTAAAGCACCTCAAAGTTGTACATTAACTCTAGAAACAGTAACGGACAGTAAACAAGACAAAATAGTTTCAGAAGCTGTAAGAAACTTGACTGAGATTTATGTAACTTACACTATTGGTCTGTTAGAGGATGGAGCCTGGGTAATAACAGTACTAGATGTTGGTGATGGTATTGCCTGCTGAATAATAACACTTGAGTCAGAACTTGTAAGCAGTACATTAGGAACCTGTAGCGATGCTGGACGAACTATTGTTGATGTAGGCTGTGCAGTCTGCTGTAGTGACACTTCCTGAGGAAAAAACAAAGATCAATGAGTTTGTAAAATACAATTATTAAATGGCAATTCAAGGAAACAATAGAACAAATGTATAACAACATGCAAAATCAGTTATACAATTAAAAAAAAAAATAAAAAAAAACTTTTGGAAGAATCATTTAAGCCACCAAAATGAAATTGTTTGTGTTATTTTAGTTTTATGACCAACCCTGATTCAATTTATAATAAGGCTACTGTTACTAACAATTCCATTTTGATCAGATATTAAGATTTTTTAATGCCAAGAAACCCGTGGCACTATTTGCACCATCACGGCTACCCAAACTGAACAAAGAAAACATTTTATCGTGTCTTTATGTACATTCCGGTTTCAGTCCATTGTTGTACATTTAAACAAAAACAAAATAGGTTTAATTTTCAGTAAAAAGGAAAAAAAAATCTCTCTTCTTTAAATCTGTAACCCTAACTTGTATACATAACTAGAGTGCTATTAAGTAACCAATGCTAAGAGTGATAACTTTGCAAAATGTCTGGTTATCGTCATACAGCAGAAATGACGTGAGTACAGAAACTGAATTTCCTAAGTTGCAACTAAAGAGTAGACAAAACCGACTATAATTCTTAGCTCAGCAATCAGGTGAAGTACAATATAAATTTGAATCTAGTACCTGTATTTGCTGTTTCTGAAAGCCTATTAATGCCTTACTAAAAACAATGCTTTCCTTCTCAGGAAACCCTTCAAATTGACAGACTTCAGATTTACCTTCAGAAAGGATTTTTTCCAAGTTATTTAGTCTTTTGACACTAACTACTGCAATCAAAGGTACAGAGCTACAATCTTGAGACTAGCAGTTTTAGTTGTTCTATTGTTAAACAGCATTTTCCAATCATTTTCCTAATTATTTCCAATTAGCATTTTCCTAATTTTCCTAATATCCTGCCAAGAGGTTTAGGTTGGATATCAGGAAGAACTTCTTTACTGAAAGGGTTGTTAGGCAATGGAATGGGCTGCCCAGGGAAGTGGTTGAGTCACCATCCCTGGAGGTCTTTAAAAGACGTTTACATGTTGAACTTAGTGATATGGTTTAACGGAGAACTTGTGTCATGGCAGAGGTTGGACTAGGTAATCTTGGAGGTCTCTTCCAACCTAGATAATTCTGTGATTCTCTGATTTCAAATGGAGCATCTCATACCTGTAACACAAGTCTACCTCGACTACCTTTGTACTGAATTAAACACAAGTTTTGAGTATTTTTGAATATTCATCAACAAAGCTTTAAGTAGTAGGATCTTAGCTATCTTGCAGATATCCACTGGAAAATGAACAAGCTCCTCTGAGCACTCCATAGAAGTGTAAATAGGCTGGCAAATTCTGGGCTTTAAAAAATATAGGACTTGAGCTGATAAAACTTGTTCCCCTCAGAAGTTCAGAGGCTAGATCTGTCATTAAGGTTTATCAGTTTTTTCAGGGTTTTTCCCCAAGGATCTAAAAGATTCTATTTACAGTGAATAGAGCTTTTGGAGAGTAACAGAGAAAGCCAAGAATTATTTCTTCAGTATCAATCTAGCAAAATTATACGTTATAACATTTGAACACAGTACCTAGGATTATGGATGAGCATATAGTCAACAGAAGAAATACAGCATGGAATTGCAGAAAAAAAAATTAGAGAGGTGACTACAGCACATTCTTAGGACAGGATTAAACACTCCTTTGCAAATAAGAAATCTGGTGTAACAGCTAGACAGGTCTTACTCCATGAGAAGAGTCAACAAGAAAAACATAAAGGAGACTAAACTTCATGACTGAGAAATTAAGAGGAAGGCATATGGGGAGAATATTTGCTCTGAATCTACTTTAGCAATAGTTAATTGAGAAATGAGTATTGTGCCATTCTTCATTAGTTCCAGCTTCACCCTTTCCTTTCTGCTGTTTGCCACTATTACCTGTTATTGTTACTGCAACCAAGTAGGTTCGCATAGCCATCAGAAAGTCCATTCCCGTTGTAGGGATCTGACACGGGAACACCCATGTTTACCCCTACCAGGGCCAACATAGTTACAAGAGCTTTTTTTTTTGTTCTTCCTTTCACGTGAAATATTTTCATACATGTGGCAACCACATACATATGTATAAAAATAGATGTAGATATGTGAATACGACAAATTGAATATCCATGACACAGTAACGCTACTTTATATAAAAAGGTGGAAAACCTAGTTAGCTAACAGCAGCCACAAAACCATGTGTGTAATAGCTTTAAGACAAAAATGTCAACTAACCAGACATTCATACATTCTCAACAACAGTAATGCCAACACAGCCCCTTCTTTATGGGTTTGTGTGAGCAGCTTTTGTAAGCGCCTGTGTGAGCAGAAATTACAATAGCAACTAGAATAGAGAAGGCCAAAGAGAGAAGCATGTGCTGAGAGGCAGCATGTGAAAGTCTCCCAAGAACTGTTAAGTTCCAGTGAAAAAGGGCCCTTTTGAATTTGCAACAATGCAAAAACTCTGAACAGCAGCTGAATATGTACATAGTCACCAGTGTGCATACACGCAATCAACACGCTGTATCATTCCAATAGCATCCAAGAACACGGTGGCTGCTATGTGCAAGCCAAGACTACAAGAATATATACAGACTTGATGAAAGAAGGGACCCACTTAAGGACTTTCCAAATACCTACCTAGAACTGTCATGTCAGCACAACCTCCCACCTCTGAGCAAACAGCTGGGATTGGCCTTTCAACTTTTGCTTCAACCAGGTAACTATGCATAAGTTACAGTGCTGTGTGAATACTTATGGGCTATGAATAACAAGAGCTTCATTACTGAGTGTTCTAATTAATCTTGCCTTTGAACTGAGTCTGTCCCTGGCTAGACCCCCCATTTGGAGAAAAGTAGTTTGCAACTTGGACATGAAGCATATGGTAAGCATATTTCAGTGACTGTCAGAAGATTAGCGCAGTAACATAACTTCATTTTGTAGTATTTTGAAAAGAAAATCTTCACATGAATACACTTTTTTTCTGTTTTTATTAAATACAGCATTTGCATTTTGTTTAGAATAAAAATGATCTCCAAACATCAAAGGAATAACACGTTTACTGACGAGTGCTTACGCAGTTGAAAACAAATCATTTTCAGCTTCCTTTTCTTATACTACCTTGCTGTATGCTACACTCTGGAAATGTATGCATGTGCTAATTATTTCAACAATGTGGCATTAACATAAGCTGCAGATTTAAGTAGTACTGGATCTAAAGTACTCCACTGTAAAGTATCATTTTATTAACATGTAAAAGCCAACATGTACACCAGTCTAATAAAGATTGGTCAAATAATTGTTCTTATGAAAGTGTACGTTTTGTCTAAAATCAAGTAGTTTGCAAATATATTCTGCTACAGAACAAGGACAAAAAAAAAAAAAAAAAGATAAATTGGCAGAATCATGACCCTAACTGACCTTACCTTTACAAGACAGAAGCTTAAGCCTGTTCAAAGATATTAAAAACTTACTGAAAGAACCTCTCCAATCCTTTTATTCTTGAAACTAATAACCACATAAGTTCAGAAAATATTTTATGGAAGATGATAGTTACATTTTTATATTTGTTTTCAGAGATGTATATTTGCAAGTATTTTGCATCTAAAAGCAAGGATCATGTAATAACTTCCAAATGCAATCAATGAACACATGGAATTCTTTACACAGAAGTGAATGTTGACAGGACTGTTACTGCAATTGACTGCTATTGTAAAAAAACAATTGGTTTTAAAATAATTAACTTAGGGAATTGGCTATCTGGCAACAACTAAGCAACAACTTGTGAAATTCTGAGGGTTCTCTTCTAAAATATTGTTAATAAGAAACCAGGATGAGCTTGAAAACTCTCAACAAAAAATGAGGATTCGATTGCTTATTATTTTACAGCTAAAAGGCTTTATAAAATTCCAATGATATCTTGGTCTATTCCAAGCAGAACATCATGAAGCCCAATGGAACTAAGAGAACTCTAGCAGAAAACTAAGAAAAGAATTAAGCATCATTTTAACATCTCTAATATATTCCTTTGACAACTACAAAGAAAATGAGAACCTTCTTACACATACTTGAACAGGCTGTAATCATTTAAGGCTACTAAAACATATTCAGCCAATAAAATAGTTACAGAGGCATATATATTTTAAAACCAGTTATGCCCTGAAAAGAAGACAAACAGAAACTTTCCCTCCTTCAATACACCTATAGAAGGAGAATATAAAAATCTAACTGAGAAAACAGCAACACTCTGCTCACATTTCTCAACTTCTGCAGGCCACATTCAGCAGCAGCAGCACACTCCAAGCAGCACCCTCATCCTTGCTCAGCTTGTCTCTACAATCAGACATCAGAACAGCAATAAGCAGCAGCAGCTTTTCACTTCAGCACTGTTACAGTGACAACACTGAAATTACACCATGAATAAGTTTATAAGCACTGCCAAGCATTTAGATACAATTTTAACTTGTAACGATGCTAATGAGATACTGAACCACTACTGAAAAATATTTTCTCTTGCCAAAATCTGAGTACTTAGAATACATATTTGCAGAGAAAAACAAACTAACCTCTCCAAACTATGAAATATAGATTTAAGATTTGGACTGTGATTTGCTAGATCAAAGAAGCTCTTTACACGTATTTTTAAACCATTTTTACTATTTTACTATGTGATTGCCTTGATTAGCTATGATTCCTCATCTTTGCTAACTTACAAAACTCAGTACAGCTTTCTGAAGACAAATCTAAACTGAAACTCCCTCGATTTTCTTGTCACACACTTAAGGCTCTTCCCAACTGGTGCCTGTTGAGAGGACAAGAGAAGCAAGTTCAAACAGAAGAGGTTCACACTGGATACCAAGAAAAACATTTCCCTCACAAGGACAGTCTGGCATTAGAACGTGTTGCATAGACATTGTATAGTCTAACTTTGAAACCTCCAAAGACAGTGAACGCACAAATCCTTGAGTTTCTTGGTCTGATCTCAAAGCTAAACTCTGCTTTGAGCAGGAAGCTGGATGAGAAACATCCTCCAACATGAATTATCCTGTGACCCTGAAAAGTCCTGCTAATTTTGGGAATAAGGTATCTGAGTTCCTCAAATGCAGATTGACCATTAATGATGTACATAGAAAAACTGACTAGAGCAACCATATTGCTTACTACTCTCTGCTAATATTTTTTTTTTATTGATGTAGAAACAGAAATAATTAATGTTTCACTGTTTTTGCTTGGTTTTGTGTTTTCTAAGAGAACTCCATTTGATGAAAATACTGCAAGTCACATATTGAACTTATTAAAACATTTATTTCTAGTACTACCAGAGCAGTAATTCGAAAATTAGTTTTATCATGATGTCCTCTAGTGACAGACAATACCCCAGGAATCCATCCCTCCGTGATACTCAAGTAAACATTATACAAGAAACTGCTCATGATCACCACTTTTGGACATACTGCTGAAGCCTATCAGCTTTGTAGGTTATCAATCTTGAAACAAAATTATTTCATGCTTAATCGTGAAAGACAGCCCATTCATCCATGTGCATTTTTTGTAGAACTTCCCCTTATGTTGTACAAAACATTTATGAGAAAACATAGAATGAACACAAAAAAGTACACGTAAAGAGTCTCAAACTGTTGAAATTATTAAAAAAAATAGAGAAACTACACTTTTTGTTTTTTTCATGAATACAACCTGATGATGCATAAAACAGAACAAAGAGCCCTGTTAGCCTTTTTTAAAATAGTGCGAATATTAATTTTTATTTTCTTTCTAGGTTTACTGGATGACCAGTGTGGGTTAAAGAAATAATTGTGCTGGGCAAAGCTAACTAAAGAATTGAACAAAGTAAGTAAGTATCCAACAAATCTGGTTAACAGGAAGTCTTTTACTTACAACTACTTAAGTAGTGTGGGTATAAACAGGTACAATAAACCTACAGACCACCTGATTCAGATAATGAACTCGGGAAAAAAAAGCATTCTCTGACCTTTTCATCACTGGTAGTAGACTCTGGGTGAGGTAAAGGACTATCTTGATGAGTTGTTTCTACAACAGAAGGTTCTTCAATTTTATTTCTTATAATTGGTGTTGCAAGAGGAGACAGATCTAGAGGCATCTAAGATCAATAGTATAAAACAAAATTAGTTAATTACTAAGAAATTCAAATATATAAAAAAAAAAACATAAGTAACTAAGGAAAAAATCAGTCTTATGATAACAAGAAGGTGCTGATATTTGTAAGATCTTGATACAGGTACATTACCAGTCAAGCCTAATTTTTCCAGCACCTGCATGAATACCAATCTTCAGTAAGACTTTGCCTTTCAATATCCATTGCTAGATAAAGTAATTCTTTTTGAGAATTAAAATCCCTCTTAGAGTTTGTATTTTCCAAGTTTCAAAGGCAAATTATAACTGAGGAAGAACTATGCTATGCTTAAAAGATACACTTAAGATGTTATCCTTATACAAATTGTATCACATGCTACAAAGCACAAAAATTTAACTTCACTTTCAAAGTAGAAAAGCTACTGTGGACTAGTCATTTCAAGCTTAGAGCAGCAAATAATTACTAAAAAAGCAAGTTTTGTATTGCTACACAGCTAAAATCCACCAGGACATCTGAAACGCCACAGAGAAATTGAGTTATAAAAATACTTAAGCAACACTATAGATTTGAAGGCCTGTTCTGCTGTCTAATTTACTGTCCAAATACCTTTGGAAGAAAGTTCCCCCAAAGCTCATCTTCCATTTATATTCTTCCAGATGCTTTTTCTACTTAATCCCTAGTTTTCCTACTGAATATGTTGTTAAAGAGGGAAGATTGTTAAAGGTGGAACCTCTTTTCACACTACAGCTGAATATGAAACACTACAGAAAAAGCTGAAGTCACCCTCTTCTTCCCCCTCAAAAAAAAAAAACAACCCCTAGGAAATGTGTTATTATGGCAAATTTTCCACCCCTAGCAATGTTTGCTTATTTACGTTAATCAACCAGAGATACATGGTGTGACTGTGTTTCTTCTGGTCAGCTTGGATAATGAGTATCAATTCAAATAGTTGTCGTAATGTTTTAAATACTCTGTGATACCTACAACCTCCTCTAAGACAATGGTGAAGTACACAGAAAATACAGTATTGGTACTAGAACTGGTATTATCATATGTATAGGTTTAAGAAAAGCTATAATGCCACAGTAAAAAAAATATCGTTGTTTGGCATAGCTGTAGGAACAAAGCACAGGTGAGCTGTGGGGTTTTTTTGTTTTGGTTTTGTTTTGGTCAGGAATGACCAAATATACATCTTATATGTAAAATACCAAATGACCAAACATACATCTTATTTGTAAGTGCATACTAAAATCTTCACTGAAACAGAAAAAATAGATAGAGACAGATTCTACAAAATCTGTACATACGAATATTTAAAAAAAAAAAGAAAGGGGGGGGTTGTTTTGTTTTATATCACTGTCTATGGGAATCAACCAGGTAATCGACCAAAGGTAGAATTACTTATAGGAGATATTGAATAAAAATTTTTCATTTGCAGAACTGTTAAAGTGTTTGGGCCCTAAACCAGTTATAATTAGGAAGTGCTAAAATACATAGAATAAAACACATTTAAACATATGGGAAGTTCCTCACAAAAACATGAAATTGTTGAACAGATACAGAACAAATCTTGCTTCTATTTTAATCTGAAGTAAAAAAAAAGAATTGTAGATGTTTAAATCGTTATAAGTAATTTCTAGGTTAAAATGTTTACTTAACTGACAAAGTGAATAAAATCATAACCAAATCACTGACACCTCTAAATTTAGTGTTTTTGCTGAACTTTGTCAGTGCTTAATCTCATTATTGTTATTACTGATTCTGAGAATAACATTGCTATTTTAAATCTAAGCACATTCAAAATAGTCAGTGTTCACGTACTACTCTTTTCACTTTTTTCTTCTCAAATATTTTTCTTTCTCCAAAAACTCATTTCTTTTCAAATTTTTTTGCTTATTTAGGGACTAATGAAATTTCAATCAAGCTAATAATTAACTTAAACAGATAGACTAGATTCTTGAAGAAGTAAGACAAAGTCATTATGCCCCACTGTCCATTCTATCTACGTAAATTCAGGTAAACCAATCTTCAGAAGGGATTCTTAAATTCGTATTCTCTCCACAGAACACATAAGCAGCTGGACAATGATTACTGGTATAGTTTTAAAAGATATATATATATAAGTCAAGTTTGCTCTCTTTCTTAAATGGAACTTGTGATATAAAAGCAGCAGAAGCCCTGAAAAGAAAAAGTATTTGAACATACTTTCTTAATATCATCTTCAGAAGCCTTTTTAAACTCATTTTCAAAAGGACTTGCTAATTCATTGAATAAGCCAACTTCTTCACAGTTCTTCAAGAATCGAGTTGGTGTTGGTGTCTGATCTGAAATGAAGTTTACAAAAAACCCAAAATTTTATTTTTAAATATATGGTGAACAACATATATATTGTATTTTTTTTTTTCAGAGTAAAAGCAGAGAGCACCAGTATACTATCAAGATACGTATTCATATAATTACATATCAGTAACTCTCATTAAAACTAACCCAAGCTAACTAAGGAACAGTCAAAAAAACATCTGAATAAAGTGAATTTTATGTTATAAAGGATTTCCTTTAACTTAATTTAAAAATAACGTAATCATAGCAAGGTAACCTTCAAATTTAAGAAACCTGTATTTAGCCTACACAAAGATGGTATCAACACAGTTAATTACTTACTCTAAGTGACTTTATAGTGGATCAGTGTGAGTATTAACACTTGAAGATCTTTAGCAATTGACTTCAAAATTACTTCACTTTCTTCAGAAAACTAAGTGTAGAAAACTAAGTAAGTATTTTTGAATGTTTGGGGTGCTCCTACATTCCATTTTCTTGTAAAATGTTAATCAGCTACATATTTTGAAGACTGGTTAAAAGAAGAAAACCTTAAAGTTAATACTTAACAGATTTGTTTTGATTTTCTCATGATAGTAACATTCTCAAAAGATAACTACACAATGAAAAGAATGCCAACAAAAATTCTTTATCAAAGTACTTCAGTGCACCTACGTGGAATTAAAGTCATAAACCTGTAATGAAAGTAATAAACCCCAAATCCTACAGTTGTGATAGAATGGCTGTTCTTTTTTTTTTCTCCCCATCAGCCTTTCATAAAATTTGCCCATTTCAGACAGAATTATCTGGTCTCTTAGCCAGCAAAAACCATCTAGATATTAATAAAAAGCAGCTAACAGAGAGAAGTGAAAGATCACATTCATTATAAAACATAGTAATATATGGCATTTACGTTAATATTCTTAATTTTTGTAAGCTGACATTCATTAGTCATGTTGATAGACAACTAGACTCTCAGATACAGAGAAAACTGTCTCCTTTTGAAAAATACAGATATGGGGGAAAGAAAAATGACATGGTTAAGAATTCTGTTTTGTCTTGAAAACACACTCTTTTCTGTCTTGCAGGAAAACCGACCACAAGCCCTACTCCACCTGCTGGAGACAAGCAATTCAAGTCTGAAAACCACTAAGCAAGTCCCTTACAGTGCTGGATGGTTAACAAAGCTTTTCTTCCGACCATGTCCAGCGACCAGAGGGAGCTATTCTCAAGTGCCTAGTCTAGCATAGCAGAGCACTTTGGTGAGCTAGCAGGTTCTAGTTACAAACATAATGCTTACATGAAGGCTTTAATAAAAACAAAAATGTATTTAAAGTTTTGCATTTTTCTTCTCATATTGTGAAAACAGCAGTGATTACTCTGAAGTGTGTGGAACACACTAAAAAGAAGCGTGATATTGCACCCAAGACTGTACTGGCTCCTAAGATGGCCATACCACTGAGCTGGAATCAGAAGAACTTTGGTATTTTGCTGATTACTGCCAAGACATTTTCAAAAAGGTCTTTCTATGAAATTTTTGGTACTATGTAAAACCCCCTCATTTCACTATTATTATCTGGTCAAAGATAACCGTATTTGCTGCAAAGTAACTGTATTTGAAATATCCTAAGTGGTACTATACTCATCTTCACTAACATAATGTAGCATTTATGACTACAGATTATACACTAGAACATGGTTGCAAAAAGTTGGAATGATGCCATTGTTTCATCCTCTTGCAATTATTGACAAGGTCCCTTCCTTATGGTTTAATCGTTGAGGATCACATTTAAAACTTTAAAAAATGTAACTGCTGGCTTAAGAGTAACTTCATTTTTGTCTGTTCATCCTAGCAAGTTACCCATATAAAAGAAAAATGTTCTGAAGATATGTGAAAACCTCTGCAAGTTTGTTTAGGCTCTTCCACCACTGAAAACAAACAAAAAAAACACTTCGACTATAACTTTGGCATGAAGATAGCACGTGCTATCTTCATTGAAGAGCTTTGAAGCATAGATTGCAATGATCCATTAGAAATTACTTCTGATCCCTGACAAAAAATAGTACTTACAAATGACCAAGAATACGCTATGAATTCAGAGGTGGAAATACAATAAAAGTAGTTGGAATTTAAAATAAAAAATACTTCAAATAATTAAAACCAAAATTGTTATTTTTCTTCTACTATTTTATTCAAAGATAATAATTCATTTATTTATTCATTCTCTTAATATCCTAATTGATGAGTGGAGGGGCAGACGCCAATCTGTTCTCTTTCGTGACCAGTGATAGGACCCGAGGGATGGTGTCAGGCTGCTACAGGGGAGGTTCAGGCTGTGTATCAGGAAGAGGTTCTTCACCAAGAGGGGCTGTCACACACTGGAACAGGCTCCGCAGGGACGTAGTCACAGCACCAAGCCAGTCAGAGTTTAAGAAATGTTTGGACTGTGCTCTTAGTCATATGCTCTGAATTTTTGGGTAGACCTGTGTGGTGGCAGGAGTTGGACTCGATGATCCTTGTGGGTCCCTTCCAATTCTGATATTCTATGATTCTATGATCCTATGAATGTCATCACAGTATGTAAAAACTCCAGGTATTTTAAAATTTAGGAGACATGTAATCTCAATGAGAAAGTAAACCTTAAATATGGCATAACCTAGTTACAGACCCTGTTAGGTGTAGCCTTTATTAGAGTGTTCTTACTGAATGCTTACTACACAATTTAATTAATTCTTAAAGAACTGGTTATTGAAAAATACTTAATCTTGTATCAGATATAAATAAAGTTACTTAGGTAGAATAACTGGCTTCAGATTTTTAACAAAATTATGTGAGAAAACATTTACTAAACATGATGCAGACAACTACATTGAAGAAAATATTGCATAGTGTCTTAATGGAAGTCTATGCATTAAATACAGAAAATACATAAAACGTATGCACATTCCACCAGAAAAGTGAATAAACTAGTTATAAAAGTATATACTAACCAGCCACAATGACACTATCATTACGAGCCGGACCAAATTTCAGTGTCATCTCATGTTTATGTTTATGGACAGCCAAATGATCCTCATTGGTAAAACGCTGTGGCAGAAAGTTTTAAGAAACAGTTGTAATTTTGAATGTGAACACAGCAAACACAACTCTACAGAAAGACATTTTGACAACATGTAAAACAGTTTTTACTCTGTTTTGATTATCACTATTTCAATTCTGTATTGTTCGTATTATCACAATAAAAAGAATGATCTGTAATCAGATCATCAGAAACACACTCTTACTGTATTTAATAGCATAAAACCGAAATAAAGTAATCTCTTGCTCCTAACAGCTTACTATATAATTTAAGAGGCAGACAGAATAGGAAACACTGGAACATCAGACAACTGAAAGGCTGTGAATGAACTTATCAGCAATCTAAAAAGCAATTTAAGAACTCTCAAGTTTTCAGATGCATCCCAGCAGTTTTTTGCATAATTCCTCCAAAATTTGGGGTATACTCTGAAAGAAGCAGTAGGTAGACAAACTATGTGCTGAAGAGTCTTACTTCTATTAACCTACAATTCACTATTTCTCTGTAATTTTAGGTAAAGTTAGTGTTTCAATTGAGATAACCTAAAAAAAAAAAGAAAAAAAAAAAAGGTTTCCCCACATACAGGCTTCCTAAAAAGAACAGGTCTACAAAATATTCTCTTACTTTCCTTTATGAGCATTTGGGACCCAAATTATGTTTCTGAATTTTCCCCAATCATTCAAGTCACTCCACATACGTCCCGTATGATACCCATGAAACATATTTTTTGGAAAACAAAATGGAAAGCTTAGTTGACCTCACAGCACAGTTATCCAAAATATTTCTGTGAGAAAGGACATGTACACATTGAGCTGAAAGGCGATTTAAAAATGTAAGATTAGTGAAAGGCAGTATAATACAGGCCAGACACTTTTTTTTTTTATTAATTAGAACTCCCCTTGCCAAGGACTAAATGTCCGATTATCCATAGCTCCTACGACTTATGCCTAGATATAACATAAACCACAAACGTTGTTTATCATAGTAAGTCTCAAATACATCTGTCTGCACTATGTGATGGAAAGGCTCCTTTGGAGGGAACAGGTTCTCCATATTCAGACTGCCTCTCTCAGATCTAGCACGATCTGGCATCTTGAGAAGCTTTGCCCATTCTCTGGGACATAAACTTCTCCTTCAATTCAATTGAGGATTGCTGTAGCCCCATGATGCTTCTTATATGAGATTTAGTTGCCAAAACACTTCTGACAGAGCTTACATTAAAATGAGATTCAAATAGAATGAGGACAAACGTTGCTTAGGAGAAGGCAGTCCTCTTCTGTTACTTTTCATGTCTCTGAACATATATGACATAAGAAATCTTAGTTCTTTCCAGATTTAAATACAAAATGTTCCATTAATATAACATTAACACTGTCAGTCATCACAGAAACTGTTTTCAGAATAAGAATAGAAATATTTTGAACTCAAAATCCAAATAAATCCAAGTGCACTAATATAATGGAAAAAATCCAGCTTAAGAAATTAGTTCTCTAAAAAGGCAGCAGGGATGCCAATTTCATGCAGCAGATAAATGTAAATTCATTAATTTTCAGGTTACTAAATTAAAAGTGTTAAGACTGCTTCCTTTTAAGTGACCATCTGTTAAAGCATTCATTATTAGTATTTTTTATTTTCTGCTCACTCAGTGCTATATCTACTAATGCTATTTAACAGAGTATGTTACAAGCACTATGGGATTTGAAACACATTTTGTGGCATGTATACTTCTAGCACCTCCCATCAACAAAAACATACATAAATAAGAGCTATATTATATCTGCAGTCACCACAGATGTGAAGATTAATCAAAGTAATAAACTACTTTGAAGTGAAAAAAATTGACATTTTTCATAGACTTAAACAAAGAATGCCTGCAAACTTCACAATAAGTTTCCCACTAACATCGTAATATTCTGAAAAATGCAGCTTACCTAATACAAATTACATTTAGTGAATATGAAAATGTATATGTACATTTTCATGAAAACAAATAAGGCAAGATTAACAAATGAAATTGCGTTCAGCTCAGAAAGGGTAATTTAATTATCTTTTCCTTGTATGGATAATATTTTTCTGAATAAACACAATTAAAATGCTAGAACTTCTTGCTGTCATCTGCTTTTCAGCAAAACTGGAAAGCAGGATACTTTCTACCAATCATCATAAACCCCCTTTTCTTCAGTCCCTCAAAATACGTTTCACTGTTTTACTTTTACTTGATCAATGTTATTAAGTTCAAGTCAGACCGTTACCTGGCCACATCCAGGGGCAGTGCATAAGAAGGGTTTGTCATCACTCATATTCCACAGGTCGTTGTGCTACCTGTATTAAGAAGAGTGGAAAGCGTTTTATAAATATCGCAACAAGTTATCAATACATTAACATCCACAGGAGATTTTAATATTCTACAACCTCTGCCTTTTAGCTGTGGTAAGAATCTAAATACGCAGGACATAAGTAACATCTGGACCAAACAGAAACACAGCAGGTCTAAACTGTGCATCTCAGTCAGAAAGGCAAGTATTTGTGTGCAAAATGATCAATTGCAGAAGATACCTGAAAACACCGTAAGACAGCTTGCTACTGAAATGAAAATACACTGTGATCACTACCCAATTCGCTGCCCCCAAAAAGAACAAAGCAGCGGATAATACTGAGTACTCAAGCATACACTGCCAACAGATGAAAGTGATTGATTCTGTATTTTTTTTATTCATAATCTGTAATGCAAAGTTAGCAGATGTCCTTTATGTCATCTTTTACAAACATAACTACAAAAATGTGTACTTTAGTAACATCACAGCCATACAACTGAATTACTAACAGACTAAAAACATTTAAGAATGAAGTAATAAATACTAACACTCTTATATTTTGTGCTGATTTGCATACTTACCACACATACTGATACACATACCTGCCAGATATCACATATAAACCTGTTTCATAGGGCAAGCTACCATATCCTCCTTTTCATGGCAATGAACTGCAATTGAAAGTAGATATTAATTACTATGCCTGTTAAATATGCAACAATCCATGATTTTGTAATGACAAATGACATGCTATAATGAAATACAACAGTTTTTTTGAAGAAACTGTTTACCTCACCAGATCCACCAATTAAGTTTGCCTCTCTCAGAAAGAAAAAGGTGCTTCTACTATTAATTCTTTTGGACAAACTACTTCATTCATATTCTTCTAATAAAAAATTCCAGTACCTCTCATTTTTGAAGTGTGAACTCTTGTACAAAAGCGAAAAAAATCAGCCCTCGTATTATCTGTAAAGTTCAGTGAGGGCAACAACTACACTAATAAAGTTTCAAGGATACCACCAAGAAGAATTAAAATACTGAAGAACTACAGATTTTTTTCCAATTAATTTATTAATTAATAAATGCCTGCAACAAATTGTTGCATCACAG